TCCCCAAGAGGATGATCCTGTCGGGCCCCGAGAGGGCCCAAAGACTGCCCTAGCCCCCAAAGAAGTCCATAGAGGGCCCCAGGACGGCCAAAGAGGGCCCCAAGACGGCCCAAAAGAGCCCCCAAAGGAGCCCCACGAAGGCTTGGAGAGGCCATGTTCATTGATTGTCGCAAAGCTGCGTGTCTGATCTTTGTATGACGTACCAAAGTCTGAACACCAAGAGGGCTCCAAGACCCTGAGCAAGCGATCGCGCGCCCTTGCGAAGTACTCGCGCTTTCCGCCCCCGTGCCGAGCATGTGTATTGGCCTTCGGCCCATCCCGCCACCGTGCCTGGGGTGTGGGTATGAAGCCTATTCGATGTTCGTTGGGATCTCGTGGGAGGCCTCTCGGGGTCCTACGGGAGGCAGTTTGGAGGCATCTTGGGGGCCGAATTGGGGCCTCTTGGGGCCTCTTGTGGGCCTCTTGGGGGCCTCTTGGGGCCTCTCGAGGGCCTCTTGGGGGCCTCTTGGGGCCTCCTGGGCGCCTCTTGGGGCATCCTGGGGGCCTCGTATGGGGCAGAAGGCTCGGATTTTCGGCTTGTGTTCCCTCTCTTGGGCCTCTTTTGGGGCCGTCTTGGGACCCTCTTGGGCCGTCATGGGGCCGTCTTGGAGTCCTCTTGGGCGATCTCGGGGCCGTTTGGAGGGCCTCGTGTGCAGTGTTGAGCCATCGGAAGGCCGAAAAGAAGCAAGATCCAAAGCCTTCAAAAATCTGAAGAACATGAAAGAGCTAGGCCCCTTCGGGTTTTCCTGGAAATCTCCTGGAGGCCTTTTGGGCCGTTTTGGAGGCCTCTTGGGGGCCTCTTGTCGTCTGGGGCCGTCGTGGAGACTTCTTGGGCAGACTCGAAGGCATCTTGGACCTGCTTGGGCCGTCTTGGAGGCCATCTTGGACCTTCCTGGGCCATCTTGGACCATCTCGGGCAAACTAGGACGCCCTCTTGGGGCCGTCTTGGAGGAGTCTTGGGCCGACATGAAGTCATCGTGGAAGCCTCTGGAGTTATCTTGACGGCAAGCTCGCTTGCGTCGCGATCCGTTAGCCGGGAGAGATAGCAAGGGGGGGTTAGGCAGGACGAGCCCCAGATCTGCTGGCCCAAATTTCGGTCCAAGACGGCCAAAGTCAGCCCCAAGAGCGCGTAAGAGGCCATCAAGACAGCCCTCCGTACGGTAGGTTCGCGTCGTGTCGACCGGCGGCGACCCCGACGCCGGCGTTCAACGTTGAACGCCGGCGGAGGCCCAGAATCGGTCGATGTTGAACGATCGGACGTTACGGAAATGGCCGATCGTTCAAGGTTGAACGATCCTCGCGGCGTCAGGGACCAACGCCCAGGTCGACACGGCACGAACCTGCCGTAGGCATTCTGGCTCAAGCCATCGCGGCTCGAGGTCCGAGGGCCGAGCGCCCTTCGCGACGCCACGCCGCAGCCCCCGTTCCCTTGTGAGGCGGCCCGCCATGGCAGACACCGCATGCGCCGGCGCGCAGCTCCCCGGCACCGCATGCGCCGGCATCGCCGGCGCACACCGCATGCGCCAGCACCGCCTGCTGCGCGCACCGCATGCGCGGGCCTCCGCGCCAGGGAAGCTCTCGACTCCCAGGAGGGCCTTCGGGCGCCCCAAGTTTCTCGAGCACGCCGAGCGCAGGCCGCTCGACGGCCACGGGAACGCCGCGCAGGGCCTCGCCCGCGATCTCGGCCCCCAGAGTGTCCGCAGGCCTAGTGGGCTCCGCTCGTCGTCGCTGACTCTCAACGAGCTGCCCGACCTGAAGAGCCTCGCCACGGAGGCCCCTACCCGACGTGGCCTGACAGGCCGGCTCGTGGGCGATTCGTTCACGTCGCCCGAGCTGCCCCAGATGGAGCGGGCCATCAGCGAGGAGTCCGGCGCCGCCGAGGTCTTCCTCGGGCCGCCCGACCCCTACGGCCTCAAGAGGACCTACTTTGGGGCCAGGGCGGGTCCGCGCGTCAGCTTCATCCCGCCCTCGCGCACGCCCTCGAGAGTGGAGGCGGCCGCCTAGGAAGGCTTCCACCTCCGGATCCACGCACGCAGCCCTGGGCGGCCTGAGGGCGGCGGGTGGCCCGAGGGGGGAACGAACAGAGCATGCAACCCTGGCGGCGCCTCTTGCCGTGGACGAGAGAGGCGGGGGTCCAGCGCTGATACGAGGAATCCGCGCAGAGCTCCAAGTCGTTTAGTCATCGTTTCTTCCCCTGCCTGAGGCGACATGCGAGCGCCATCCAGCTGGTGCCCTGCGGTAGGGACGGCGAAGCAATGGGGGATGGTGGGGGGAAGGCTGAGGGGAAGGCGCGCGCGCGAGGGCGAGGAGAGCGGCCCGAGGTCGTGACCCTCAGCACAGGCGTCTCGTGCTCGTGCTTCGGGGCGGACCGTAAGCCCGTCTTGTCTCCGTTCAGCGTCGTCGTCGGCAGCGTCGTCGTGGTCGCGGCGCGTGCTGCTCTGCTCCGTTGGGGCTTCCTCCCCTCACGCAGCGATCGAAGCCCTCACCTTCGACGGCGAGGCGCCCCCCCTCTCCAAGGGCGAGCTCTTCGAAGACTCGAGTCTTCACGTTTTCTGCGCGGTGCCGCATTCGCACGGCGGCGGTCGAATGCAGCTTTCTTCTGCCTGCATGCGGGTCGCAGATTCGCGCCCACGCCGGCCCTCCAATGTTCTGCAAACGGTGCTCCGGTCGTGAACCTTGCGGAATTCAGCACGGCGTGCGTGCATTCGCACAGCGTCGGTCGAATACAGTGTTCTTTTGCCTGCATTTGGAGCGCAAATTTGCGCCCACGCCGGCCCCCTAGATTTCTGCAAACGTTCCTCTGGTCGTGGACCTTGCGGAAGTCAGTCCAGCTCCTCAGTATGATAATCATGTTTCGTCCCCTCCCTTGTTCGCGTGTCTCTCTGTCAGGCAAGGCTTGACGATCAAAGCTGACAAGCTTAAAATGCTTGTCGGACATATACTTGCGTGGCTATCTTCAGGGGTGCGTTTCAAATGGCAGCCACGGCCGGCGCTATTCTGTTCCTCTGCGATAGTTCACACGCCATGTCAACCACGGCGCCGTTTACTTTTCTGCCCGGCCGTACCGGGCCCCAGTGTTTGGCATTGCGCATGAAACAGAAGACGGCCCCAGACAGCCCGAAGAGCGCACAAGATACCTCCAAGATGGCGCCGGAGAGGTCCAAGAGGGCCTCAAAACGGTCCATGAGTGCTCGAAGAGAGCGCAATATGGCTTCAAGACGGCCGGACCCCCAAGAGGCAAACATCTTCCAATGTTTTTAAGGAAAACGTGCATGTGTAGCATATTGGTTTCTTCGGTCTTCACAGCGTCCAAGACGGCCCAAAGGTGCCCCCGAACCGCCCCAGGACGGCCCAAGAGGCCCCCCAAGAGCGCCCCAAGACGGCCCGAGTGGGCTCCAAAACGGTCCAAGAGAGCCCCAAGACGGCCCAAGAAAGGCCCCTGAGGGTCCCAAAGGATTTCCAAGAGAGCCCCAAGAGGACCACAGGAGGCCCCCAAGAGGATCCCGTCGGGCCCCGAGAGGGCCCAAAGACGGCCCTAGCCCCCAAAGAAGTCCCAAGAGGGCCCCAGGACGGCCAAAGAGGGCCCCAAGACGGCCCAAAAGAGCCCCCAAAGGAGCCCCAAGAAGGCTTGGAGAGGCCATGTTCATTGATTGTCGCAAAGCTGTGTGTCTGATTTTTGTATGACGTACCAAAGTCTTAACACCAAGAGGGCTCCAAGACCCTCAGCAAGCGATCGCGAGCCCTCGCGAAGTACTCGCGCTTTCCGTCCCCGTGCCGAGCAGGTGTATTGGCCTTCGGCCCATCCCGCCACCGTGCCTGGGGTGTGGGTATGAAGCCTATTCGATGTTCGTTGGGATCTCGTGGGAGGCCTCTCGGGGTCCTCTGGGAGGCAGTTTGGAGGCCTCTTGGGGGCCGAATTGGGGCCTCTTGTGGGCCTCTTGGGGGCCTCTTGGGGCCTCTCGAGGGCCTCTTGGGGGCCTCTTGGGGCCTCCTGGGCGCCTCTTGGGGCATCCTGGGGGCCTCGTATGGGGCAGAAGGCTCGGATTTTCGGCTTGTGTTCCCTCTCTTGGGCCTCTTTTGGGGCCGTCTTGGGACCCTCTTGGGCCGTCATGGGGCCGTCTTGGAGTCCTCTTGGGCGATCTCGGGGCCGTTTGGAGGGCCTCGTGTGCAGTGTTGAGCCATCGGAAGGCCGAAAAGAAGCAAGATCCAAAGCCTTCAAAAATCTGAAGAACATGAAAGAGCTAGGCCCCTTCGGGTTTTCCTGGAAATCTCCTGGAGGCCTTTTGGGCCGTTTTGGAGGCCTCTTGGGGGCCTCTTGTCGTCTGGGGCCGTCGTGGAGACTTCTTGGGCAGACTCGAAGGCATCTTGGACCTGCTTGGGCCGTCTTGGAGGCCATCTTAGACCTTCCTGGGCCATCTTGGACCATCTCGGGCAAACTAGGACGCCCTCTTGGGGCCGTCTTGGAGGAGTCTTGGGCCGACATGAAGTCATCGTGGAAGCCTCTGGAGTTATCTTGACGGCAAGCTCGCTTGCGTCGCGATCCGTTAGCCGGGAGAGATAGCAAGGGGGGGTTAGGCAGGACGAGCCCCAGATCTGCTGTCCCAAATTTCGGTCCAAGACGGCCAAAGTCAGCCCCAAGAGCGCGTAAGAGGCCATCAAGACAGCCCTCCGTACGGTAGGTTCGCGTCGTGTCGACCGGCGGCGACCCCGACGCCGGCGTTCAACGTTGAACGCCGGCGGAGGCCCAGAATCGGTCGATGTTGAACGATCGGACGTTACGGAAATGGCCGATCGTTCAAGGTTGAACGATCCTCGCGGCGTCAGGGACCAACGCCCAGGTCGACACGGCACGAACCTGCCGTAGGCATTCTGGCTCAAGCCATCGCGGCTCGAGGTCCGAGGGCCGAGCGCCCTTCGCGACGCCACGCCGCAGCCCCCGTTCCCTTGTGAGGCGGCCCGCCATGGCAGACACCGCATGCGCCGGCGCGCAGCTCCCCGGCACCGCATGCGCCGGCATCGCCGGCGCACACCGCATGCGCCAGCACCGCCTGCTGCGCGCACCGCATGCGCGGGCCTCCGCGCCAGGGAAGCTCTCGACTCCCAGGAGGGCCTTCGGGCGCCCCAAGTTTCTCGAGCACGCCGAGCGCAGGCCGCTCGACGGCCACGGGAACGCCGCGCAGGGCCTCGCCCGCGATCTCGGCCCCCAGAGTGTCCGCAGGCCTCGTGGGCTCCGCTCGTCGTCGCTGACTCTCAACGAGCTGCCCGACCTGAAGAGCCTCGCCACGGAGGCCCCTACCCGACGTGGCCTGACAGGCCGGCTCGTGGGCGATTCGTTCACGTCGCCCGAGCTGCCCCAGATGGGGCGGGCCATCAGCGAGGAGTCCGGCGCCGCCGAGGTCTTCCTCGGGCCGCCCGACCCCTACGGCCTCAAGAGGACCTACTTTGGGGCCAGGGCGGGTCCGCGCGTCAGCTTCGTCCCGCCCTCGCGCACGCCCTCGAGAGTGGAGGCGGCCGCCTAGGAAGGCTTCCACCTCCGGATCCACGCACGCAGCCCTGGGCGGCCTGAGGGCGGCGGGTGGCCCGAGGGGGGAACGAACAGAGCATGCAACCCTGGCGGCGCCTCTTGCCGTGGACGAGAGAGGCGGGGGTCCAGCGCTGATACGAGGAATCCGCGCAGAGCTCCAAGTCGTTTAGTCATCGTTTCTTCCCCTGCCTGAGGCGACATGCGAGCGCCATCCAGCTGGTGCCCTGCGGTAGAGACGGCGAAGCAATGGGGGATGGTGGGGGGAAGGCTGAGGGGAAGGCGCGCGCGCGAGGGCGAGGAGAGCGGCCCGAGGTCGTGACCCTCAGCACAGGCGTCTCGTGCTCGTGCTTCGGGGCGGACCGTAAGCCCGTCTTGTCTCCGTTCAGCGTCGTCGTCGGCAGCGTCGTCGTGGTCGCGGCGCGTGCTGCTCTGCTCCGTTGGGGCTGCCTCCCCTCACGCAGCGATCGAAGCCCTCACCTTCGACGGCGAGGCGCCCCCTCTCCAAGGGCGAGCTCTTCGAAGACTCGAGTCTTCACGTTTTCTGCGCGGTGCCGCATTCGCACGGCGGCGGTCGAATGCAGCTTTCTTCTGCCTGCATGCGCGTCGCAGATTCGCGCCCACGCCGGCCCTCCAATGTTCTGCAAGCGGTGCTCCGGTCGTGGATCTTGCGGAACTCAGCACGGCTTGCGTGCATTCGCACAGCGTCGGTCGAATACAGTGTTCTTTTGCCTGCGTGTGGAGCGCAACTTTTGCGCCCACGCCGGCACCCTAGATTTCTGCAAATGTTCCCTTGGTCGTGGACCTTTCGGAACTCAGCACATTCTGCGTGCATTCGCACAGCGTCGGTCGAATACAGTTTTCTCAGGCCTGCGTGTGGAGCGCGCATTGCGCATGAAACAAGAGACGGCCCCAGACAGCCCGAAGAGCACCCAAGGTAACCTCCAAGATGGCGTCGCAGAGGTCCAAGAGGGCCCCCAAACGATCCATGAGTGCACTAAGAAAGCGCAATATGGCTTCAAGACGGCCTGAGAGGCCCCCAAGGCGCCCCAAGAGGCCCCCAACGGGACCCCCAAGAGACAAACATCGTCCCATTCCTTCAGGAAAACGTGCATGTGTAGCATATTGGCTTCTTCGGTCCTAACAGCGTCCAAGACGGCCCAAGGGGCCCCCAAACCGCCCCAGGACGGCCCAAGAGGTTCCCCAAGAGCGCCCCAAGACGGCCCAAGTGTGCTCCAAGAGAGCCCCAAGACGGCTCAAGAGAGGCCCCTGAGGGTCCCAAAGGATTCCCAAGAGAGCCCCAAGAGAGCCACAGGAGGTCCCCAAGAAGGTCCCAGAGGTCCCCGAGAGGGCCCAAAGACGGCCCTAGCCTCGAAGACGTCCCAAGAGGACGCCAGGACGGCCAAAGAGGGCCCCAAGACGACCCAAAAGAACCCCCAAAGGAGCCCACGAAGGCTTGGTGAGGCCATGTTCACTGATTATCGCAAGGTTGTGTGTCTGATTTTTGTATGACGTACCAAAGTCTTAACACCAAGAGGGCTCCAAGACCCTGAGCAGGCGCGCCCTCACGAAGTACTCGCGCTTTCCGTCCCCGTGCCGAGCAGGTAGATTGGCCTTCGGCCCATCCCGCCACCGTGCCTTGGGTTGTGGGTGTGAAGCCTATTCGATGTTCGTTGGGATCTCGTGGGAGGCCTCTCGGGGTCCTCTGGGAGGCAGTTGGGAAACCTCTTGGGGGCCGAATCGGAGCCTCGTGTGGTCCTCTTGGGGGCCTCTTGGGGCCTCTTGAGGGCTTCTTGAGGGCCTCTTGAGGGCCTCTTGAGGGCCTCTTGGGGCCTCCTGGGCGCCTCTTGGGGCATCCTGGGGGCCTCTTAGGGGCGGAAAGCTCGGATTTTCGGTTCGTGTTCCCTCCCTTGGGCCTCTTTTGGGGCCGTCTTGGGGCCCTCTTGGGCCGTCTTGGGTATCATCGCCTCGTGCATTCTCGCACGCGGGGAGGGCGTGGGCGGGACAGTAGGGGCTGAGCTACGTTCCGTGTGGTAGGCAGCCAGGTACCGGCCAGGCGTGGTAGGCGGCCAGGCACCTAGGGCTGGGTCCTGGTAGCCGCCTGCCTCCCGATGCGCTCCGCGCCGTCCCGTCGCACTTTCAGCGTCGCGGTGCACAGCGTGCTGTCCCGTCGCACTGCCCAGCGTCCCGCCCCGTAGTGTGCGAAGCTTGATGCGCGAGCGCGTCGCGGTGGACGCCGTGATGCTGCCCGTGCATCCTGGGAGGTCGCGTTGCCGTGCCGGTCCCACCTCCACTCCTCCGTCAGTCCCAGGGGGCCGCCGCGAGGAGCTCAGCTGTCCTCCGCACGGCGCGGGACGCAAGGTCGCGGACGTCGCCTCTGGGCGGTGGTTGAGCCAAGGGTCGCGGTGCCCCAGGGACCCCGCCCCTCTCGCCGTGGCAGGGGTTCCGCTGGAGGCGCCAGGCGGCCGGCAACCTCCCAACGGCCGCCCGGACGATCCTGGAAGACCTCTCCAAGGCGTGGCGTTGCCAGGCAGGTCCGCCGAGGAGGAACCGACTCCGTCGTGCTGGCCGCGGTCGCGGTGCTGCGGGTCGTGCTCTTCCGCTGTGTCGTAGCGGATGGACGTCGTGGTGAGCACGTGGTGCGAGGTCCTCTTCCTCCTCCTCCTCCTCCTCCTCCTCCTCCTCCTCCTCCTCCTGACGCCGTGATGCCGCCCGTGCATCCTGGGAGGTCGCGTTGCCGTGCAAGCCCCGCCCCCACTCCTCCGTCAAGTCCCAGGGGGCCGCAGCAAGGAGCTCAGCTGTCCTCCGCGCGGCGCGGGAACGCAAGGTCGCGGACGTCGCCTCATGGGGGGTGGTTGGGCCACGGGGGTGCCCCACCCCATGTCCGCGTGGCAGGGGGCCCGCCGGTGGGTGGACGCAAAGTGTCCACGCGTGTCTCACCAAGACCTTGAGTTGTTCAGGTACTTCAAGCCGATATGTGCAAGCCCTTCCCCTAGATACGTCTGGGTAAGAAGACGCTCGTTGTTTCGTTGATGCGGGTGTGTTTCGTTACGAAGCTGGTACAACTGGTCATAGAACTGGCCGTAGAACTGTTCCATTAAAAATAGAGTCCGGCATAGAGCTGGTCGAAATTCTGAAGATATAGATTTTTGATATTGACAATTTCTTTATTTGAAACGACCAGTTCTATGTCCGACCCTATTTTAACTGGGCAATTTATACGACCAGTTCTATGACCGTCTCTATCCTGTTGTACCAGTTGTACCAGCTCCACGCACTTTTCCACGCAAAAAGCCGCGGTGCTGCCAGGGCGCGCAGTTGTTTGTTTTTGATGTGTGGGCCCCGCGCTTCGTTCGATGTGCTTTGCCTTGCTTTGCGTCGCATGTCCGCGGTTCGCATTGCAGTGTGTTGAGTGCGCATCATCGCCACCATCACCGCCATACGCGCCGTCGTCAACTTCACGCGTGACCATTTTGCTGCATGGATTCGAATTACATGGCCAGTGGTTCTAACATTGTCTCATCCACCTGGTCTTAAGGCCCTCGTCCACCTGGTCTTAAGGCCCTCACTGACGTCCGCTGAGGTGGTTCGTCCATTCGCTCGAGCTTCGATCCTCGATAGAAAGTGTTGGCGCTTCGCGTATACCCACCGGTCGCTGGCGCTGTGCCGTTGTTGACGGGGCCGGCCCGCGGTCGTCCGGGCCTACCACGTGCACTGACTGGTGGATTTCTGGGTACTGTGACCGCGCCGGAGTGGTTTAGCTTTCTGCAGCCGCAACAGCACCCTGGACTCATCCCCCTCTTCTGGCAGGTTTGCGACGTTCCTCGGCAGCTCAGCTCCCCCAGCCAGCACACGTCGTTGGGACGGCTTGGGCCTGGCGCCCCACTGGCGACTCACTCATCGGGCTTCGCGCCTGCCCCCACCCAGTATGACGGACACGTCGGCCCCTGTGCACGTCATGTCGCTGTGTGGGTTATGCCTCACGGCATGCAACGAATTTCTCGACATTTTGTCAGACTGCACGTGCCCGAGTGTCCCAGGATGTCCCCTGCCGTCAGCTTCCCGCACAGCCCCTCGGCTGCTTTGTGAGTGGGCCGCCCGGCTAGCGGCGCGTCTTGTAGCTAATTAGGTTTGCCCGTCGGCCCGGACACCCTGTTCGCCGCTTGCGCTCTTCGCTCGCGGCCGCGACCAAAAAAGTATACACACCGGTCCATCCAGAAACGGTCGCCGGGCGAATCGCTTTGACCAGGGAAGCGTAGAAACATGCAGTGGAACTGTCCGCTGAGGTGGCTCGTCCTATCGTCCGAACTTGGATCCTCGATTGAAATTGCTCCATATCGCATCAACAGCATAAGCACCTTGACAGGGTTGATTACCACGTCTGGGTAAGAAGATTTTCGTTGTTTTGTTGATGTGGGTTTGCTTCGTTGGTAGAACTGGTCATAGAATTGGTCCATAAGAATAAAAAGTCTGGCATAGAACTGGTCGAAGGTTTCAAGAGGAAGGATTTAGATATGCAGTTTCTTTATCTGAGACGACCAGTTCTCTTCTTGACCCTGTTTTCAATTGGCCAGTTCTATGACCAGTTCTATCCAGTTTTACCAGTTGTACCAGCTCCACGCATTTTCCACGCAAAGGGAAGCCGCGGTGCTGCCAGGGCGCGCCGTTGTTTGTTTTTGATGTTTGGGTCCTGCGCTTCGTTCGACTTGCTTTGCCTTGCTTTGCGTTGCATGTCCGCGATTCGCATTGCAGTGTGTTGAATGCGCATCATCGCCACCATCACCGCCATACGCGCCGTCGTCGACTTCACGCGTGACCATTTCGCTGCATGGATTCGAATTGCATGGCCAGTGGTTCTATCATTTTCTCAATCCACCTGGTCTTGAGGCCCTCGTCCACCTGGTCGTAAGGCCCTCACTGACGTCCGCTGAGGTGGTTCGTCCGTTCGCTCGAGCTTCGACCCTCGATAGAAAGTGTTGACGCTTCGCGTATACCCAC